ATTTACTGGAAGTACTCTAAAGACAGACGAACAACAACAGGAGTTTAAACCAAGTCTTACATCTATTGTATCTTCAGAAGCCAAGAGTTTAGTGTGTAGTTCTCTTCTGCTACCTACCCCTGCCAAAGAGGAAAACCTAATTGGAGATCCATTGGCTATATCTGACATTCTTTCCAAAGAATCAAAAGATGTACAACTTTACAACTCTGAGCCATTCCGAAAGCAGAGTAATATTTCCTTCACCTCAATGAAGCGGCAAAATATTCCATGTTCAAAAAATTGTCTACAAGATGATAACACTAAAAATGACCTCCCATCTCAATCCCAAAACTGGAAGTTTCCATCAGAAATAGAAGAAAACACAGCTTTTTCAACAGACAGTTCATCATATTCCAAAGAAAATAATTTAGACCAGCCAGAATGTGAAAGTAAGAATTGGCTTCTTCAAAGGGAGAAAAAAGTTGAAACAACAACCCCGTTAGAAAAAATCAGTGACACAAATTCAGAGAGAGATCTAGCCAATTCAAAGATTCAATGTGGAACTGAAGTCCCATGGGTCAAAGAGGGCAGAATGAATGATCAACGGGAGGAAGATACACGGAATAACCATGTCCATAGTTTAGAATTGCTAGAGCCATGGGAAGATCATCAGTGGGTCACCAGTCCCCTTCATTCTCCTACCTTGAAAGAAACTCAAGGAAAGGCACTTCAGGAGTTTCAGCCACAGAACGAAGGAATGATCCAAAGTCATTTCAAGAAACCATGTTTCAGTCGTAGCTTTTCCTTAGACAGCAAAGATTTTTTGAAAACTCATTGGGCTATAGAAATACCTTTAACAAATGCAAATGAGGAACAGCTTTGTGGTGACCTAGAACAAGGAATGAAGGAATATTCACCAGGACAGTGGAAAAAAAGTCTTCAGAAAGCTGAAGCCTGGCTGAATTGTTTAAAGGAAACTTCAAACTCACATGAAACAAACATGAAATATCTAAGTCATGAAGCAGGCTTTGCAGCAACAAAGTTGCCTTCTGGTCTTGAAGGATTGCCTAATGTTGCCTGTAAAGCATTGGTTGAGAAGGATGTGCCTAAAGATGAAAAAAAACAAGAAAACATGAAGCTAGATTCTCCTTTGTCACAATTTAATACTGAGATCAGTTTATTAAATTCAAACTGCACAGGAAAGCAGGCAACTAATATTCAACTGAATGACAGACCTGGAGTTCCTATCATGAAAGGACCATATTGTACTAAAGAGCTGCAGATCAATAAAAGTGAAGACATTCCATGTAAAGGAAAGCCAAGACCCTCTTCTCTCAACCTGGATTCTGTCCTTCCACTTGCCAGCCTTTTTAATTTTGACCACTTGTCTTTCCCCTCTTCACCCAGGCACTTTCTCTGTGGGCAGAAAGAAACTAAATCTAGTGATTCTGCACCATCCCTTTCTGTTGCTTGTCCAAGTGAAAATAAAGCTGACCTTTGGGGATCACACTTTGATCCTCAAGACTTAGACTTAGAATACATAATGATGGCTCATGCTACCACTGGCCGTCGTAATTCTGCCCCTGTAAGTGTTTCAGCAGTAAGAACATCTTTCATGGTTAAGATGTGTCAGGCTCGAGCTGTGCCAGTGATTCCACCAAAGATTCAATATACCCAAGTTCCCCAGCCTTTGCAGACACAAAACCCCAACTGCAGAATCTCACTGGCATCAGAGAATAAAGAAGCAGAAGTCAAGAAAAGTCTAATCAAGCCAATTCAAAATGCTCAGGGTCAGCTGCAGCTCCCAAAGAGTCCACCACTCGATGGGATGGGAAAAGAAAACAACAGTACATTCATTTTGGATTCAGCTGCAGCTAGAAAAGCAGAACCATCTTTTTCCAATCATAATAATACTCAGGATGCACCAGTTCTTCGGCGAAAGAGAACCTCTGAAGGAGAAACTACTGGAGATCCTCCACAGTCCTCAAAAATGGAGAGGCCATCTGGGGTTTCAAAGCCTTCTTACAGATCTAGACCAGGAAGACCTCAAAGCCTTATTCTATTTAGTCCACCCTTTCCTATCATGGACCATCCCTCTTCTGCAGACTCTAGAGTATTGTTATCTCCCATAAGAAGCCCTACACAGACCCCTTCTCCAAGTCCAATTTCCAATGATTTATTAGGACCAGCCCCAGAGGGTGTCACTCTTCGTAACAAGATGACTATTCCAAAGAATGGCCAAAGGCTAGAGACATCTACAAGTTGCTTTTACCAACCACAGAGAAGGTCTGTAATTCTGGATGGAAGAAGCGGGCGTCAGATAGAATAATGTCTTTCCATTTCTCTTCCCTGGTGGATGAGATATACTAATAACACTGAGAACTATGAATATGATGCTATTATTGCTAAATGCTTATTACTAAAACAGTAATTGTTGATTTCAACAATCCTTAATTTTATATTTTGTCACATTTAATAGATGAAATTATCCCACAGGTGAAAACAATATTTTACTGCAAGGAAAGGCAGAGGTAAAAGTTGTCTAGAAATGTATTCCTTTATAAGATGCTGTAATGCTTCAGCTTCCCACCAACAGATACCAATCATCTCAGCTAATGTTCCTTTCCATGATCTTGCTTATTGCCTTCCTATAGTGTTGAAATGCTATGTATTTGGGATTTCTGTCGAAGTATGTATTAAGAACAGCAGACCTGCTCCATGTATCTATATACAGACCTACAAGGAGCATTGTAAAAAGAAAAAATGTGCACACTGGTCATTCAAATAAGTGGGGAGAGGAATGCTGATGTGTTTGAGTGAAACCTATTTTGATAAGCTTTTATTATTAAAAACACCAATTGTATCTTACATTTCTCTAAATGTCTGATGGACTTTAATATTGATTTTAGAAAATTGTACAAATAGTCATACAGTATAAAATACCTGCTCTGTCAGTGATTGTAAGATTTATTAATGTAATAGTAGGGATTGAACTCACTCCAAATGATTTTCATCCTCCTCCAAAAGCATTAATTTGCTATCTCTGTAACAGTGTCACTTTTGGTAGCTGCTAAATGGAGTGATAGGGCAGTCATAATAAGCTTCAATCCATTTATTAGAACATCATGATGTTTATTGAAGACATTATAATATGATTTTCTCTACACCAGCCTCAGTGTAACTGCTTTGCAAATGAGACTGAATTTAAGTTGCTACTCAACTTACTCAACATCAGGTCAATAAGTGGCACAAACTAAATTTCAATTAGTAAATAAATTCCAGCCCAAATGTCTGGTTGCAAGTCATTAAAGCAGAATTGAGGGCCTGAAGATCTTTCAAGAATGACTCACATGTGTTAGATTTGTTTTCTCATTGATTCTCAGTATCATAGTCTAGAAGCACATTTTCACGAAACACAGTTGAACTACAGCTAGGGCAGAAAATATGTAGACAAGTGATGTTGTGAATGTTGGTGTACATATAAAATGCTGAAATAGCATTTATTGTAATTTCACTAATACTTATTTTGATACATGTATTTCTACCTAGAATTCCAACTTTGATTTTAAGAATAAGTTGCTTCACATAACAAAATGAGTACCTTTTACTTATGAAGTCTATTATAAGTCCCTAGGTTTTTTTTATTTTTCAATAAGATATATGTAAGACAGTTTGAAATAATAGCAAAAGAGGATTGGCAGTTCTAAAACATTGTGGTTCTCTGTTTATAACAGAGAAATGGGTGACACTGTCTTTATTTGCACATTGTTATTAATATAAAACCATATTTCTGATTTAATCGAAGAGAAATTTAGCTGAAGACAGTTTGGATGCTATGGATTTTTACGATTCATTTTGAGAATAAATCTGTTTCTCTATTTTGGGAAACATGGAACAAGAGGTTCTGCTTTTTGCATGCTTGGATTTGGTCAAGGCTTGGTATGCTGCTTATAAGAGTTGGCAAAGAAGGGAAAGAAAAAAACGAGGTGCACTTTTTTCCCCTTGTCGTGTAATGCCCAAGGACAGAAGGAAGTTCACTGAGGACTGTCATTTTTGGTGGAAGAAAGAATAGGTTAATGGAATGAACAGAATGCTGAATTAGAAGGAAAGTTGTTAATACATTATACCATTTCTGGGATAACAAAAATAAGTCACTTGCTCATTGAAGAAAGATTTGCAGTACTCACCTGTGGGATGGTTTGTTCTTTTGCTTAAGTAATGCCTAGGATTTGCTTTAAGCAATGTATATTGGCTGTTTTCCTGGTGACAGATATATTTTCTAAAAGTGTGCTATAGAAATATATTAAAATCTAATTAAGACCTAAGAAGTTGTGCATCTCTGAATCTTGGACAAAACCAGTGTTTAGAAATTAGTCTTTGTTATAAATTCCTCTTGTATAAGCTTCCCACACTTTTGATAGAGAAAGAGCATCAATTGCTCAGTCCACTAGCCATGGAGTCTGCCCTTCCTGATCTTTTCCCCTGAAATTGTTCTTCATATCAACACAGGATTTTACCAACTATTGCTAAGCTTATCTGAAACAGATCTTGCTGAAAAACAGTAAATCTGCCAATTATTTCATGACAATTGTCCCTGTAGTGATGGCTAAGAGTTGTGTTTATGAGATGAGAGATGTGAACAAGAAGTTAGGAAGGTGCTTGTATATCACTCTGCATCCTTAGCACTGTTTTGCTTCAATTTCTTGTCAGATTCAATTCTTGGATGTGTAAACATACACACGCAGACACACACAATTTCAGTTGAGATTGGGGACATGGGCAATTCTTTAAAACTGATGGAATTCTTCTTCCATTGTGTTCTAAATAAGGCCTAACTTTGGGGGGTTTAGGAGTGAGGAAAAGGTAAGGGCTGAATTTGATTTTTCAGTGGCATGCTGAGAACAACACTCCAGAAGTTAGATCAAGGATAAAAATAAAATAAAATTGATTTCATTTAATTCAAACGTGGATTTGGTTAATGCTTTTTACATGTATTAAATGAAAAAAATGTTCTCAAGCATTTTATAATTTTCTTCCTCCTTTCATAGTATTAATTACAGCTTGTTGGCAACTTTTGAAGGCTCACATCCACTGTAGTCAAAGCATTCAAGGGCTCTGTATGGCTGTAAGGTCTCAAGCTGTGCATCTTTGCTGTATATGAAAAATACTGTATGCCATGTTAGATTGTTTATAACATTTTAACTGTAACTTTTTAAGATACAAGTGTACTTTTTTCAACATTTTGTTTCTGATAATTTTATTAAAACAAAACAAATTTAAACTGAGGATAAATCCCTGTTCCTTGCCACCCCTTCCTCTCCCTGAAGAAATTATGAATTGGTTTTTCCTATTGCTTTTAATTTGAGAGGGGGGAACCAAGTCCATTACTGTGAGGTCTGAGCTTTGTATGAATGCATTGAATTTCATTTAATCATCATGATGAATATTGTTTTCACGGAGTGCTGCTCTTCTATTTTAGTGCTTTCATCATTTGGAAATTTTGCCAAGTCTCAACCATGAGATTAAACTGGAGTTTTTATAAAAACTAACTTGTGTCTTGGTGTTGTTTTGGCAATGTACATATTTATTGTGCTCTAGTGGAGAACAAAAGATGTGTACTTTTGACATTTCTGTTATGGTCTTCCTTATTTGATTAGCTAAACCAGGAATGGAAAACCTGTGAAGTTTCCAGATGCTTCTGAAATTTAATTTCCAAAAGACTCAATTAATATCAAGTTCTGAGAAATATTGGTGAGGAATCTTTCAGCAATATGAAAGGCTATTATTGCTCCATTTTTGAATAGCCCCCAAGCATTAAGGATGCTCATCAGCATCACAGGTGTTATTTTGCAAGATAATTGCCAGCCGATCCTTTAAAGAAATTGTTATAAAAATTCTATTTTTAAAAGTTAAAGAAAGCAGCATTCTTTTGAACTAAGCTGGAATGCGGGAATGTTATTTTATAGCAAGTAGTACTACCTGAAATGGAATCTGTTTCCATTTAATCTGGAGAGGGTGGCAAAACTGCATGTAGAACAGAAAATATTTGATTTTGTTTTTCATATAATCACACAACAAAATATAATATTGTGTCATCATTAAGCTGTCTTTTCAGAGGGAGAGCTTCTCCTCTGATTTTGCTTTGCGTCAGTCAGGGCTGCGAAATGAAGTCCAGTTACTAACATGACAGTCTTATGTAATCAGATGGCCTTTTTGATCCATGATCCCTTTTAGAAGAACAAAATTGTTTCATTCTCATCTGAAAAATACTCTTTGGAGTAGAACTATACTCCAGGAAGTTGACTGAACTACTCCATTTAGATGGCTCGTCTACCTGTGGGAAGCAGTCAGAGTATTAGAGATCATCCTGCATCCTTTGTAACTAGTCCAAAAGTTATACACAGACTTACAATACTTGCTGAACTTCAGTCGTTTTCATATCTAGTAGAAGAAAATCCAATCTTCTGTGTTTCCAAAGCAACTTGCATAAATCTAACATTACATTTGGTAGCAGCTGGATCTCATATTCTCTTACAAAGCATCTATCTTGACTACTGTCACCACAAACTCATAACTCGAAGGAATTTAATTCTCTTTCTGTCTCTCCTCCAGCTGCTTTCTTTTCATTTTTCAAAGTCTAAATGCATTAATTGGGATCCTGTTCGTGTTTTTAGATATATTAAAATGAAAGGCCATTTGCATGTATTTTGACTGATATACAGCAGTATTTAGGATGCTTAGTCTAGTATTTTATTTTTAGTAATATATTTAGCATGGCTATCTAATTAGGGAATAATCTGGTTTTGCTGGAATCAGATTTGGGCAATCTGCTTGTTTCCTGAATTTGATGGGATTCATGGCTTCTTCCTTATTCATGGATACCTAAAAAAAGACCTGATCTGGGAAATTGGTACTTTCACTATTATACCGAAGAAAGAATAATAGTATCAGCTACACATTTTCTCCTTCTTTGAGAGGTTGGCCAATGTATCATTTAATATTTCAAGGGGAGGTGAAAAATCCACTGAAAAGTCAGCAGTGCAGAGTTGCAAGGAGTGGATTTGAGTGTTTTTCTGCTAGGTCTTTTGGAGGAAATTGGGAATGGATCTTTATTTAAATAATATTGTAACTGTGAGAGCAAAGTTATCATTTTCATGTGTTTTCTGTGGCAGTTGTTTAGTAATATAGGTAGTCCTCGATTTATAACTGAGCCCAAAATTTCTGTTGCTAAGCTAGACAGAAATAAAATTGGAAGTTTGCGTATAGAACTTGAATAGAAAAAGAGGAATGTAGATGGAAAGCAACCTTTTTTTTTTTGCAAAGAGTTTATTCAAAACAGAACCAAACTTTTGGTCCCTAATCCATAGCCATACACATACTTTTGTTTTTGTTGATTGAATGTCAGTGATGCTGGTGGAGGAAGGAAATGCATCACATCCTTTTAGCTTTAATAAAAGTGCAATCCAGAAATATTTAATTTTAGCAATAGGAAGATATGTTAGCACTTCAAAGCAAATACAGCAGCTGCTTAATAATAAGCCAAGGGATAAAAGACAGAACCGGGGATAAAATAACACAGCCGAAGTTTTCTGAAAAAGGAGCATTTTCTGAAAGGCAAAAGCTGAAGCAAAGAAACAAAAAACAGATGTTGAACTCACTTTCTACTGCTGAAAGAACTTGAAAAAAAGCTTGTTTTAAAAATGGGGAAAGTTAATCTCTGTCTCAGCAAATACAACATTCATTATTCTATATTTCATTACTGTTACCTTAGGCAACTAAAGTTCAACAAATTTTGCCCAAAGAAAAATGATCAAAAGGAATCTTATGTCTCTGAATGTGTCCTGGAGTACCTCACAGCCTTAAACCACTTGTAAAAAAAGAACCTTGTTTAACTATTACAAAAGGAATATTCTTTCAGTAAGAACTATGCAACTCCAACATGACTGGAAAAATTTAGGTCATATTTAGAGGAGGCTGGAGTGTTGCTGGAAGTGCTTGAAGAGAGGCACTTGGAAAATATTCATGAACAACATTAGAGGAATCATATCCAGGCTTGTAGTTTTTTATCAATATACTTGCCATAAGGCAGGGATTAGCAATCTTTAGGGACTTAAAGTACATTTAGAATTTGGAGAATGTTCTAACAAAATGACTGTGATATTCCTAGAAATAATGTGAAGCAGGAGGCAAGATTTTTGTTTTATTTTTGTTTTTTGTTTTTGTTTTCAATATGGAAGCTATTATTTTTATTTTAAAACATTAAACATCAGGAGAAGTGGGCAATTTGCCATGTACCATGGGAAGGAAAAACAGAAGTGTATTCTCCAATCCAGTAACTTCCATTTGTGCTGGGAAGGCAACTTCTAGAATTCTCAACCACCCTGGCCTGTGGTTATTCCAGGCTGGAGTTGGCTAACATCATGAAAAAGATACAGTGTATGTGATATAACAAATCTTTGCATGTAGAACAACCACAAATTCAATTTCTGGCTTCTTCAGTTATAGATATGAGCTAACTAGTTAGCAGAAATCTCTTCATGAGATCCTGCAGAGTAGCCAGAATACTATAATAACAAGCACCACTAGTTGCTGCTTGTTTTTAGCAGCTTCCCACAAGCACCTAAATGTAAGATGATACAGAGAACATTGGGAACAGCCTTGAAGGACAAGATGAAGAACCATTACTAAGGCAAAGGTCAGATAAGAGAGAGCTGAGCCCATTCCAAGAAACTAATTTGAGAAATCATCTCAGTTAGGACCTTCTCTAGTTCACACAAAAATAAAGGAAGGGAGGGGGAAGCACATTCAGACTTACAAAATTCTGTTCTATGCCTGTTACAATCAAAGTAGTGCTGACCTATGTAGCATTGGTTTCTTAGTCCGGTTTACATTGTAAAACAAACAAAGAAACAGCACAGGTTTTACAGGAAGATAAGTTTGTGCAAAATTGAGAAATAATTGAGTAATCTTAGCAACATTTTTTTGTGAAAAACATGGTGACAAATTCAAACCATAGTCCTACCCACCGTGTGAGAGAATATTCAGAATTTGTACCAAAAATGTATGAGAATATCTATGGCCAAGATACGATCATTGGACAAAAGCATTCCCCCCCCCAAATATGGTCTAGAAGCTATTGTAGAACTCCGTGAATAGGGATGTAGCAGTGTGTGTCAGCAGTTTCACCTCCAATGACAAGTTTTTGCTCATCTTTCTTTTACTATTTTGCCACTCTTTTTAATGAACTCTGTATTACAGCTACCAAAGTTAGTGGGAATGAAGCAATGACATAAGAATGAATGAAGAAATCCTGAAAATATTTTAGGCAGAATTCCTTTATAAATACCATATATATGCATGGATAAGTCTACTCTAGAATTTTAAACAAAATATTATGAAAAATGTTTCATCCATGGATAAAACAACCCTATTTTTTAATGTTTTAATTTGTACAATTAGCTTATTCATAGATGGGGCATTTTTCATGGTATTTTCTTTAAAATTCAGAGGTCAGTTTACCCGTGGATGGGCTCATTTTTGAGCATACAGTATGCCACAAGATGGGAAGCATATCAATTTAATAAATAAACAAATATAGAGATATTTTTTAAAGCATTACTGTATATACTTGTGGCAAGGCTAACCAAAACCAAATTTTTGGTGTGTATTTTGGAACTTAAAATTTTTAACTTATCTGTGAACATATACAATACTGATTCTCATCACTTTCTTTGGAAAATCAGTGACTCTTTTAAAGAAGCTGTTTAAGTCATAGACTTCAGTTGATGCAGCAATACAAATTAAAGCAACTCTTATTAAATGGTTGTCCAGTCCCTACTTCAACATATCCAATAAAGGATAAACTACAATATTAACTTGTTACTGGTATCACTGTCAGATCAAACCAATCCAAATCAAATTCCCCTTAGGTTTTTGAAAAATAACATCTCTTCCAATTATTATCCCCCCTCCTATTCTGCATTTTAAAGGATAAATACAATGATGGCTTTCAGTCTCTCCTCAAAGGAACTTGTTTTTCCCATCTCCTTCTCTTTTTCATTGCTCTTCCTTAAACTGCCCCAGGCTGAATGCTTCTTAAAGAGTGGGAGTACTGATAGTATGTTGTGAATCCAAGAGAATTTGTTTCTCATCAGACTAAATTGGTATGTAGTAACTCTCTGGAGCATTAGTAGTAATATCTAGGTGTATGGAATAATACTTAGCTACTTACCCAGCAGCTACAGTGCCTGTTTAACCACTATAGAAATGTTGAATAGCCTTAAAAAAAACAGCTACTGCTCATGCAAAAGTAGGTGATGTTGAGAAGAACATTTCACACAGGAAGTTATTCACTTTGAGTGTTTTACTGAAAATTAACACATCATCTTTGACCCTTCTAGCTGTTGTCTAGAGTAAGCCTCTGAATAATCAATGTTATGGAAAATCCAGGAAAAAAATCAATAAACTCTTTAATATATTATAGAAGTTTCCCTTTCAGCATATATTATTCAATGCAATTTGAGAGCAGTATATGATCTTGCCCTCTAAACCTTACCCCACTTCATTACATTTGCATTGGGGAAGAAAGTACATGTGGAAAATAGTTTTTGTGCATTCTGTCCCTCAGCAAAATCTTCATTTGGGTCATTGGGAAACAAAATGAAAGCCTTAAAGCTATGACATTCTATTTACAAATTCAAATATTTTATAAAAAAGTGGTTTAATGTTGATATATTGAAATCAAAATTATACTTAAGTATCCAGGTCCTGCAGTTAAAGAATCCCTTATGAAACTTATTTATTGTTTTTTTTAAAAAAAAAAATAAAGACACAGATTTGACTCAATAACTGAAGTTTCCCACTAACTTAAAAAAAATCATTTATTCCAGTTCTTCAGTTTTGGAAAACATGAGAGTAATCACTATAATGTACAATCAGTATACCTGGGTTACATGTGAGACAAAATTCTATTCTCTTAATCATCTTTATTTTATTCAAAAAACAGTTTATTAATAAAGGTTTGAACAGGATTAAAATATACAGAAAAGTATTTCTTTTTGGAGCTTACATTTCATGGAAAAACATTTGCATCTTAAAATTCTTTGTACAAGGCATACACTATCACAAAAAAGCTTACAGTTTGATGTGTTAACAAAAGATTGATCATGTAATTTGTTGGCCATCTATATATTAGTCATTCATATTAAAATAATAAACATGATTTTATGGTGAATTCTAACAAAATATATTTAATTCAAGATCCAAGGAAAATGTTAGGATATCTCTTGCATTCAATGTGTTTTCAAGTATAGTTGTTCCACTGTGTTTGGTTCTTTTAAGACAGGGGTGTCAAACTGCCGGCCTGCGGGCCGGACACGTCATGACAAAACTGCGCCCATCCCATTGCCGGCAATGGGGAAAAAGCTCTGATATGTCGTGCGATGTCATGTGACATTGCAAGTTTGACATGTCTGTTTTAAGAAATCATCCTCTCTTGTAAATAACTTAGGAATCATAACAAACATTGGTAAATTGAGGATTGTATGTGTAATCAATCAGGACCAGTAATCAGAGGTAGCCAAAAAATACTGCAAAATACCTAGTCCTAGATAATCATTCCAAACAACTGGTTCAACTCTTTCTTATGTTCTTAAAATAGCCATTTCCAATAAAAGAAAATAAATGTAGCTGAGGATTGAATTGTGAGGTCCTTGGTATTCTCTCTGCAGGTTGTTTGCTTGCAGATGTTTGATTAGCCAAATAGGTAACACCATTAGTGTAACTGTGGGGCTTGCTCCCTGTTTATGTATAGTAGCTTGCTCTGCCAGTGTTGGTAGGGCTGTAGTTTTCTCCTTGATTGAAGAAGCAGATGGTTTTCTGCTTTATTGTTTGTCTGGTATTAATCCCTGTTTATTGAGTTTGGGATGCTGGAGATGATGTGTTCTGGTCTTTTTGTTTCCTTCTTAGCTTTTTAATTGTCTCTTTTGAATGATATATAAAAGTTATAAAGTAACTACCAAAGAGAAAACCACAGCTCCACTAATATAGGCAGGGCAAGCTGCTGTGTATAAACAGTGAGCAAACTCAACACTCATTGGCACAGATGATGTTACCTAACTGGATAATGAAATGACAGCAAGCAAACAAACAAGAGAGCACCAGGGACTCTATCTCCATTTTCTCATATATTGCTATATCTTAGTATGGCCTGATTGTTACAGAACAGATCAGACTATTAGTCCAGTTTCCTACCCGGTGATTACTATAACTACGTCTGAAATTAAGGCAATGGGGGAAGTAAAGAAAAGATTAAAGGGACATCTTGAGAAGTTCCACAGGGAGAAATTATTTAGATATGAACTATCTGTAAGTGCAAGTTTAGTGTACTGGTTAAAGCATCAGGCTAGCAACATGGAGACCATGAGTTGTAATCCCACTTTGTGCAAAGCCAGTTGATGACTTTGGGCCAGTCACTTTCTCTCAACCCCAGAAAAAGAGGCAAAGAAAACCACTTCTGAAAAACCTTGCCAAGAAAACTGCAGGGATTTGTCCAGGTAGTCTCTGAGAAATGGTCATAACTGAATAGAAGAAAGGAAAAAACTATATAGATTTATGGAAAAAAGCAGGAAGAGCAGATTGCGAGGCCATTACATCTTTAATATTCAATTCTGCTCCAGTAGAACATCGTACAAAGAAGGACCCAAGTCTGAAAAAAAAAAGGAAATAATTCAAGGAGAATTATTGCAACATCTTTTTTTATGCAGCACATTTGAATAGGAGAACAGCTTGAATTTGTACAAGCAGCATAATTAGGTGTGGGACAACTAATTCTGTGAATTAAGCATGTATTGTGTTCAACTCAGAACACCATACAGAAATACATATCATACAAAAATACAAGTGTATAAATTTAATAAGCACCATGGCTGACAGCAAAACTATGAAAACTTCTGCAAGTAAAATAGTTCTCAGGTCTTCCTCTTTTTATGGAAAACTATACAGACAATGAAACAATGATATAAGTTATGGCAAGCATCTCATAAAGGCTTCCATTAAAGTCACTGCCAAAAAGTATGCAGAGAAACAAATATTCAGACTGCCCAGGAATTTAGGACAACCTTGATTCTATGCATGTTTGTGCCTGACTGTGACAATGTCTAGGCCAGAGGTGAGAAACGTTTCCTGTTGACAGCCACATTCCTTTCCAGATAATGCATGCCAACATTAGGTGTGCCTGAATCCAGCAGTGGAGAAAGCCAAGCCAAGCTCAAGTGACCAGGGATATGCCTTTTCTTTTTCCTCCCTGCCCAGGAGGCTGCTAGAGCAAGGTCTTTTTCAAAGTTGGTAAGAAAAGCAATTAGTTTTACCTGCATACACAGAGCAAGGCTCTGTAGACTGTAACTCCCAGATTTCCCCAGCCAGCATGCATTTCTGTCAGTAGAAATTCTGGGGAATTCTGAGAGTTGTCAAATTTGAAAAACACTGATTGATTGGTTGAAATATATAAATCAATATTTTAATCAGGGCAGAAAAAACATATCTGTTTAAATATAAAAGGAAAGATTATTTTAGGATTTCAGAATTCTTCACATTGCCCTGATTATTGTTAAATTCACCTCAGTGAGGAGAAAACAATGAGAAAAACATTACATTGATGTCATGTAAAAGAAAAGTAAGAAAAAAAGAGCAAGGGACCTCTCAGAGTCTTTTAAAGGTCCTGTGCTAGACGGAGAACACACTTCATTAAAAATCTGAACTGATTATTTATGGTAGCCCGAGATGGGCCATCATAACTAATCCCACATATTCAAACATTTTTAAAAGGGAGAGACTGGGAAAGAGGATTCTGGATTTACTTTTGAGTAATACCGGTGTCCAATTTCTTCTAGAATAAGGGAAAATAAGAAAAGCTTCCCTTCCCTTCCTCAATTATTCTGCTGTAGTGCAGTGGTACCTTGGTAGTCAATCACTTTGAAATTCATCGAACTTGGTACTCAATGGATTTTGACACAAAACTTTTGTCCCAGTACTCATTGGTTTTTTTTTTGGGGGGGGGTATTCAATGCACAAGCTAGAACTGTTGGTGTCTGGCTGTCATACTTTGTATAAATTTGTTTGATACTCATTGTTTTTGGACTCATTGTGCCTCTTGGAACCAATTAACAATGAGTACTGAGGTACCACTGTATTTGTTCAGATGAGAGTGAGAGAGAGACTGTCCAGCTTGCCTCAACCTACTGATGAACTTTAGAATTCATATTCCTGTTCAGCCTGGCTATCCCTAGTCCAACTCCAACATTATTTAAACATCCTAAATATTCTACTATGCCTGTCATTCAGGTGACAAAGTTCTATCATGTTTGTCCACATGCCTCTCATTTGCTGATAACCAGTCTTCCTGCATTTATTCACATTCTTTTTATTGCCTTCCTAGAGGTCATTTTTTATTTAAACTGAGGCTTGTTATACTGGTTAAGGGACTCTGTAAACTCAGGTAGTCATTGCAAGTGTCCAAGAAGGACAGCACAAACAAGTCATGCAGTATATTACAAACAAGTTTTCCCTGTTATGAAAGGCTTATCTGACCTTAGCTGGCTCACAATATTAAAACTGTGAGTTCAGTCCCAAAACACTGGAGACTATTTTTCCCTGAATTAAACTGTAATCTTTTGAGATGGCTTGCTAAAACCTAAGCAATATACTACCATTAGTCTCAGCAGTATAAGCAGGTGGGCCTTTGATAGAAATCATTTACAAACATAATTTAATGGAACAAAAAATGATAAGGAAAAGACATTCGCTAATAGGACCAAACCTTTCCATACAGAACAGATAACAAAATGAAAAGTAAAAGAACAAAAAAGTAAAAGGTTAAGAGCACAGCTTAAAATTAACACCAAAATGTACATTAAAGACACTAAATCCTGAAGCCCAACAAATAAAGTTCTATTGATACTTACAGTCCAGCACAGAATGGCAAATCCAAACCAGGCAACACCCCAGGCATGTCTGTTCATGGGGCCAGTAATAGTTTCAAAGCAGCCCTAGGGTAAAATAAGAGGAAGAGGATCGGCTACAGGCAAATAGATCTAGTTGCTAAGCCTTCATTCAAAAGAAGGACTGATGTAAATTAATACAGGCAAGATTTAATGTGAATTTCTACCTGCCTGATTCATATGGAACTAGAATGAACTTAACATGTCAATACTGGCAGTTTCCCGAATTGTGCAATATGACTTGCAACCCATAAATATGTGCAGAAAAGTATATGTGGAAGGTAAAAAAAAGTATTCCTGGAAATTGTTTGCAAACTATATTCCCATACAAAAATGTGCATTTTAGATTGAAATTTGTACAAAAAATGTTTATGAATTCTTACACAGATATTTTTTATGTCAAATTTGAAAACTAAACATAAATGAGCCAAAAAAGCCAACAACTGGGAATCATAAGAACAGTATGTATACTAATAATTGCAATAAAGTAAAAAATAAGTCATCAAGCAAAAAGAGAGAAAATACAACACTATTCATTCCTGGTTGGAAGTTGAAGAGATTTGTCTGAAAATAAAATATCTTTAACTTCACCACTCCAAGGGACTGAACAATAACCAAAGCAATTATCTAAAATTTCATTAGAGTTTTAGCATCCATCTCTTCAAAATAAATTCCTTCTCAAACAGCTGTACTGCTGTCTTCAAAAGTCACTGAGACCAGTGATATGATTATCCAGATTTGAAATGGAGGAATCCCATTTTAAAGAATTGAGAAAGTGAAGGCTATCAGGTGCATAGTAATGGACTCAAGTCTATTTAATTATGCTATAATCAGTGTGTCAAGGTTCCGATCAATATGATCAAACAAATCAGAACTCTGAGGCAGGAAAGTTCCTCAAAGAACATGTTTATTGGATACATAATATCGGCACATTCAAAAGTGAAATGAGATCTAAACTTTCCCTCCAAGAATCAAAGTAATACAATATAACAATTCCTACCCCTCTATTCATACTGCCCAATAGAACGCCATGGTGGGCTTTCTGACTTAATGATCCTCCTCCTCTCCTCCGACACGGGAATGACCCTGGTTCCCACAAGAGTCGCTCGTGTTTAGACTACCAGAAATACCATTTCCCCCCTCCCCCTTCTTGTGGCAACCTAGAATGAAAAAAATGGCTGCAGCCAGGTTCGTTGTAGAATTGACACAGTGTGCTGGTTTTTAAGATGATCACAGCAGTCCATTCCTCTCCTATTTTAATCAAATAACAGTAGGCCAGTAGATCTAGTAGAGTGGTGAAGAAATGGCAGCATATCCATTAATAATATTTCAGCCTATTGAATTTGTATAATTGTAATCAAGATTAAGTCGTTAAGTTTGATAAGCAGTAGCAGCCCTGGAAAATCTACCCTCTGCTCTATTTCCACTTCCTTTTCCACACTCCTTGTCCAGAAGTAGTAGTGCCACTACTTTTCCACCTATTAACAGTTGACTGGTATCCTCAGATTAACACATTTTAAGATGGCTGCAACAGCCATCTCTGGTTTCTCCTAAGAATTGCCTTAAAGTAATGACATAGGGTAGCTAGCAATAGTAGGCCATTCTGGAGTTTTGAATGCCTAGCTCCCCATGAAGCAACTGCTCTTGCTGAAGGGTTGGGAAGGCAGAATGTTAAAGGTTGACTTATTTTGGTTGGCAGCTGCCCTGATTTGCTGCTTAACACAGCTGCTTCATTTTAACTTATGGTAGGGCTAGTTCTCTCTGACATAGGACTTACTGGGAGGAGGGGTGTAAAAGAGGGAACACTAGGAGAAGAGGAACATTTCAGCCTACTACAATAGGAGAAAATATTGGTAGCATTGAGCACCCCCTTAACATTTTAGAGAAGACAAATATCAATGAGTATTTTGATTGCTGCAGAACAAAAATAAGAAGAAATTCTTACTGTGTTATGGTAATAGCCAGGGATCCCTAATTTGCAGCCATCCAAGCTAACTGCTTTTCCTAGGGGATCCATAACACAGCACTGTCGTGGCCAGGGAAAATCTGCATCATTGTTCACCGTCCGAAAAATGGAGGTATATGTTTGCCAGTCGATTGGCCCATTCACACCACAGCATTCATTCTGGATTTAAGAAAGAAAAATGTGTTTGTTAATAAATAGGCCACTACACTTGTAATTTTTTTAAAAAAAGAAAGAAAGAAATTGTAGCCAATTTACTTTTTTACTAAAAATGTGAAAAAGATTTATATCCAATGAACCAGCATCAATTTTACAATGTTTCACACTGTAAAAACACTGAAAATTGTTGGAATGTAACAGAACTGGATAGAGTACAAAAAGTACATCAAGGAACTCTGATTTCCTCAGATAGATAATTTACCGGATATTACAATGAAGTTTCGAATCATATCAATGGGGAAAAAGTAGTTTATATTTTTTCAAAAACTCCGCAAGTTTTGAGCTAGCTCTGCATCATCTCATAACTTTAGTGAAATTCATATAAAAATGTTGCTTAAGTTCAAGACAATAAATTGATAGATTAGGACAATTATTCAGAACATTTCTCATATATCGACAACCTGTAGTTTGTGCAATTGCATAGAACAAGTAAATTAGAAGCTCAAATAGGAGAAGGAAGATGTGTTAGATATGTTTGCTGCCATGAGTTATTTCTAAAAATAATAAAGGTGGTATAGAAATAAATATATACTGTAACATAGTCCTTGAAATACTGTAACTCTTTTTGACAGTAATCCCTGAGATCAGGACTCTTTATTCTATATGCACCGTAACCATATTCTACCAAATATAGTTATAATTCCCCTTCACGGTTTCTCTATGAACCCAGAAGTTTGAGAATAGAGTCAGAAAGCAGGTTTTTATCTATTGGCCAGGCTTACAGTATTTGAATGCCTGAAGATGGCATTTGTATCTCCAAAGCTCTAAGCAAAACAATAAATGAAGATTCAAGCTGTTCAGAAATTGTAAGTAGTGATGTACTACAAGCAATTTCTAATCCTATATGTGTTCATTTTTAAATGATCTTTCCACTCAATTGGAGTAATGCATGATAGGATTATAGCTGCAATCTCTTTCTTTTAAATTCCACACTATTGTCAAGCTCAAGAAGCAAAAAACACACAGATTTCAGAACGATATCTTAAATGCTATAAAACACAAAGTTGAAAACTGTAAGATCAACTTTTTAGGTAGTGAGCCAGTTAATCCAGAATCTCTTTGAAATGTGTTCTTCCCATGATCTGCCCATCTGGTTTGCGATGAGTCTGTTCACACAAACTGAACTTCTCCCCCATCTGCTTCCCACAGTACCTCAGGCTTTCATGCTAACAGTGTAACAATCTTTTCCCCGCTACTGAAAGAGGTACATTTTTTTCTGAACTTCACATTTAGCCCTAAAGTGATTTTCTGGGAGCCCTACTCCCAAACTAGAAAATAGCACCAATACTAATTTTTATTTAATAGAAGTCAGATTTATACTTAATTAAAATTAAATTAATTAAAACTGAATTAATTGAAATGAAATACAGTCCTAGAGGAGATTAACCCTGACTGCTCTTTAGAAGGCCAGATCCTGAAGTTGAAACTCAAGTACTTTGGCTACCTAATGAGAAGGAAGGACTCACTGGAGAAGAATCTAATGCTGGGAAAGATTGAGGGTAATAGAAGAATGGGACGACAGAGAATGAGGTGGCTGGATAAAGTCACTGAAGCAGTAGGCGTGAGCTTAAATGAACTCCAGAAGATGGTAGAGGACAGGAAGGCCTGGAGGAATGTTGTCCATGGGGTTGCGATGGGTCGGACACGATTTCGCAACTAACAACAACAAAATAGTAGGCATGTTATTCTCTAATATATATATATATTACTACGTTTGGAGTTATGTGGTCCTGAGACCTCAGTTGTGCACCCCTGTATTTGCTACTACATCTTTTTTGTTTATATCTAGAAAGGATCTTGATGTCATTGAAAACATTAAGCTTTAATGTGTGAATGAAGAATAGCCAAAGAGAGGTTAAATTAAATGGCTTTGTATAGCTGTTTAAGACACTTCCCATTGAAAAAATTGAGATGATAGCGCTCAGCCTCAAAGGTATGATAAAGAAGGGTTACAAACAATAGCAAAAGTAAAGATTTATTTTAAAAATCCTCTTAGCATTTGACAAAAATATCAGCAAAAAATATTAAGGAAGCCAAAGTTTTTTGCATTTCATTATTAGAACAGAGGTATAATATACTTGTCACCCAGAGAAACACATTCATTTATATAGAGCTCTATATATTTCTGGAATATTTAGAAAAATATTCTTAAATGAGACAAAATTTGACAAAAATATCAGCAAAAAATATTAAGGAAGCCAAAGTTTTTTGCATTTCATTATTAGAACAGAGGTATAATATACTTGTCACCCAGAGAAACACATTCATTTATATGAGAGCTCTATATATTTCTGGAATATTTAGAAAAATATTCTTAAATGAGAATCAAGTATTAGTCCCAAAGTAGTACAATAGTCTTACCTGCAACATGAGACGATTCCATGTCCGGGTAATACCTTCACTCTTCCATTTGTCATCATTGTTGAGTGGGTTTGGATTCTGGTATTTTTCCAACATTTGCTTCAAGAAAAGTTCATTTGTAAGCTAAATGGTAATGAAAGAGAGGAATATGAGTTTTTTTTCCTATTTGGAGAAGTCACATCCTTGATAACATCTAGCATACACATCTTAGATTTTTAAAACTAGTTAAAATTAAACATTTTCTTCCAGTAGTACATGCTAACTAAATTTAAATAACATTAACTCAAGCTCAACCCACAAATTCCAGTTTTTGGTAAACTACTTCACTGAATAACTTTAAGGAATTCATCTGTGATTAGGCTTTATTTAAAAAAAAAAAAAGAATTACCATATCATTAGCAAATGTGCTTGCTAATGAAGTGATTCTAGTCAACAAACAAATAAACTCCCCCAGTCCACAGAAGTGGGAGAAAGATTTCCTTTCCCCTAGATTAAAATAATGAATTAAAAACTTGTTCATACCATATAAATGTACTGCCAGACCTTCGACATGTTTGCAGAAATGAATCCCTCCCCTTTTAACCTCTACACTGAATTGAGAGCATCTGAGAGAATAGACACATCACTGGTAGAATACTCACGAAATCCCGATGCACTGTTGCTGTGATGCTTGAGGCCACTTCAAAGGCAAAGACAATCATCATCAGGATGATGTACTGAACACAAACAAACAAAACACATGTCACAAAGAACATTCAATATACTTCAATCTCAGATTGAGTGCTATAACACTCTTCCCCTGAAATCTGTCTTATTTCTTTTTCTTTCATCCTTTAGTTTCCTAGAAATAAAAGCTTGGGAAAGAAGCAGGAATGGCTTCTCAAGCAACTTTCAGCTAAATTATTTGTTCACATATTGTTCATAGACGTCTACTGAAAAAGCCACCATACAAAAACATTGCAATTTTTAAAAAAATGATGGAATCAAAGCAGGAATGAAACAACAAGAATACAATAATTTGGAATAGCATCTTGCAATTCCTTTTTTTAAAAAAACAACACAGTTTAGGAACCAGCTACATTTTTCCTGGGAGCAAGTTCCATAAATGGGGCACTATTATTGAGAATGTTCTACTCCTGTTACCATGTTGTACGCCAGCTAGTGGAACCAAGACAAGGACTCACCAACCTACTTTAGTGTATGTGTTAGATGGTATTGAATTGACAGACCTTTAAAAACATTTTGTTCCTTTTGTCTGCAAAAGTTTATTGGCAGAGAACAGAATTATGTGGGTCCATTTAATTACTCTGCTTAACAATCTAGGAAGCTACCAGCCACAGCTACTAGTTAGCATTAATTTGCTATACTAAGAATATACAGGTTCTCTTCAACTTACAACCCATCATTTAGTGACCATTCAAAGTTACAATAGCACTGAAAAAGTTAGTTGCAACTGGCCCTCACACTTATGGCTTTTGCAGCATCTCCCCAATCACATGATTAAAATTCTGGTGCTTGACAACTGGCATGTGATTATGTTGTTTGCCTTATCCTAGGATGATGTGATTACCATTTGCAACTTTCTCAGCCAGTTTCCAAAATGCAGTGGGGAAGCTGAGGGTAAGCTGGATTTGCTTAACAACCACAGGATTCACTTAACAACCATGGCAAAGAATGCCATAAAAGTGGGTATGACTCTGTTAACAACTGCCTTGCTTAACAAGAAATTAGAATTTCTGGTCCCAGTTCTGGTAATAAATTAAGGACTACCTGTATTCATGCAAATTCAACATCAAGGAAGATCAATCCAATTGGGTGCTTAACCATAGCATACCTTAATAAAACAGCAATCAATCTAATTAACAGAGTGGTGTCCAAAGTAAAGCAGTAGTTGGAATAACAACATAACTACATGTTATTTTATCTCCCTTCTGTCAGTCTTAGTCCTTACTATGTTCTGACTGCTTTATACATTCAATTCTCAACATGAACCAGATTCTTGACAATACAGTCACAAATGAGTAACAAGTTGTTTACTGAGCTCTTTGCCTAGCATATTTTCCTTTGCTAATAGTATGGGCTGGAAATACTATGCTCAACATCATATTTGATCTACAACTACTTCAGCCATACCTGAAAAATGAAAAGTTTTTCCTATAGTAAGTTATTCAGGAGCTCCAAAACATTCATTAACCTGTCTATTAAAAATAATATCCACTTGTGAAATGTAGCATTCTGTGATTATGTTATCCACCAAATAATACTGCCTATTATACAAGTAATAAACCATTCAAAAGATTATCTGGCAAATACACAGTGAGAACCATATTTTGCATTTGTAGGACAGTATGACCTGCAAAATCCATGTCAACATGTTATGATTGATGTCTTTATTGTAGCCTGCTTTGCCCGCTACTCTGTCTAATCTATTCACTGCATTTTGTAAAGCCTAAAAGCTCTCATGCATTGAGTGCTAATGCTGATTTTCTCCAAATTCTGGGTATTCCAATGCCAGAGATTGTTTTTACCATTAGTTCTTGAAGTAGTCTCCTTATGAACAGCAAAACAGGATTAGCTTGACATTCAAAATGTAACATGAACTCGCATTTTGTTGAACTAACAAATCCAAAGTCTGAGACAAAAACAACTTTAAAAAGTCCTGCCTTGAAAGAAGGAGAAAATGCAACAAAGGGGAAAGAATAAAAAAAAGGGAAATAAACTTGATGTTCTGTAATCTTAAAGGGAAATAAGAAGGATCTGTGTAAATATTTCATCGAAATTTCTGCACAGAAGGATAATCTTAGGAACAGCTTTATTAATAAACTTAAGAAATTGTGTTCAAACTTGGATATACTGTATCTATCCCAATTTATATAATCCTTCAAAGCTCTTCATTGAAGTGCTAATGATTTGAGATAAAGCTATTTTCTATCCTTTTAAGACCATTTTAAATGCATCAGTTTTCTGATGTTTTGAAATAACAAATGCCACCAATAAAAACTCAATCAGTCTTATAGTGCATCATTTTTTATGTCTAAAGAAAATTGGACATAAAATCAACAGGAGCGTTTATGCCAAAGTTTGCTAAATGATTTTCCTGGTTTTTTTGCAAAATATTTTCACGAAAATTAAAAACTAGTTGGGCATTGCCCTACAACTGGCATTGTGTAGTACTCTGCTTAACAAAGTTTATGGTTTATGTAGTATGCAGTAGTACTGCAATGTAAAATTAACTATTAATAATTTTCAAGATTAGTTCTTGCTAATTTACTAAAGTTTAAAAGGCATTCTGCACTAAAGATTCCAATACAATTCAACATGTTGAAACTTTAAGTCATAATTTCATCACCCCATGGCCTTAAAATAAAGGTTTTATATAACATGTAAGATATTTTAAATGAAATAAGTATTATAAGTAAATATGTATTTACTATTATCTTCCCATTTCTTCTTTTAATTGAAAAACAAATAGTTTTTCAGATTTCATATTCCTAAGTATTAAATATATTAGTTACTAAGAGTCAACAATGACTTGATGGTACATAAAAGGTTCTTCTATGAGATATATTTAGACATACTTTGTCTATATAATACGATCTACTATAGAGGTTATTAGCTTTTGGTCTTTTAAATCACATACCAGAAGCATTTACTTATGTATATCTGCAATAAATTGTCCTAGCTCTGGAGCTGCTTTAGGCAACATCAGCAGACTTTAGCCTAGAAAAGATTATCTGTTTCTTCTGAAATTACTGTTACATTAACATTTGAATCCATTTCAGTGCTCTGTAACTACCTATATTTATTTCTAAAAAATCTTGGGGTAAAAGGAAGATAAGGTCTCCCATAATAATAACTTCATTGCTAATCTCAAGATGCCAGGCTGTTTTTCAACTTGTACTTTCAGCAATAAGTGGACAATTCTGCTAAGCTGTAGTTTCTTTATACTTTGAATGTCAAAACTGAGAACAGGCTATGTGTAATTGGAATTTACTTCAGGTACTATTGAGGAATTACTAAATCCTGCTGTTTGTGAAAAGGTTATTTTCCTATTAAAGGTCTAAGCTTTTCTACTAAGAGTCTATTAAGAGCCCAAGCTTTTCTTGGTAATTTCCAATTTGACTTTCATACATTTCAGAATAATTTGCCATTTTTATTATAGTGTGTGGGATTAGATCTTTCAGAACCACTGAACTATATCTTTCAAAGATCCTGGAGCACCGGGGAACTACCAGAGGATTGGAAAAGATATGATGTAGTTCCCATCTTCAAAAAAGGAAAAAAATGGAGCCAGGAAATTACAGACCTATCAGAGAGCTAATTTCAATAAACTTAGCGAGGGCTTGGGAAGGATTCCATGGATGAGAATCCTCAAGGGAAAAACAACTCAAGAAGCTTGGGAAATTTTGAAAAGTGAGATAATAAAAGCACAATATCAACAAAGAGGAAAAATAACAGCTCTCAAAAGAAACCAGCATGGCTGCATAAAGAACTCTCTGATAAATTGAAAGATAAAAAGGACTAGTATAGAAAGTGGAAAGAGGGGCACATAACTAAGTCAGAATATCAGCAAATAGCCTGAGCCTGCAAGGATGAAGTGAGGAAAGCTAAGGCTCAAAATGAACTAAGGCTTGCGACCAAAGTCAAAAATAACAAAAAAAGCTTCTTTCAACATGTAAAAAACAAGAAAAAAGTGAAGGAAACGATTGGTCCATTAGTGGGGGAAAGTGGCAAGAAGGTGACAAGCAACAGGGAGAAAGCAGAACTATTTAATTTGTTTTTTGCATCTGTCTTTACACAAAGGGAAAAACAGACCAACCTACTCAAAATAGTGTCATAAAAAACAGAATAGAAACGCAAGTTAAGATAGGCAAGAAAACAGTAAGTGAGCACCTGTCCAGCCTAGATGAGTTCAAATCACCAGGACCAGATGGATTACACCCCAGGGTTCTCAAGGAACTGGCAGATGTGATCTCAGAACCACTGAACTATATTTTTCAAAGATCCTGGAGCACTGGGGAACTACCGGAGGACTGGAAAAGAGCTGATGTAGTTCCCATCTTCAAAAAAGGGAAAAAAATGGACCCAGGAAATTACAGTCCTATCAGCCTGACCTCAATACCTGGGAAGATTCTGGAAAAGATAATCAAACAACGAATCAGCGAACACCTAGAGGCAAACAAAGTCATTACTAAAAGCCAATATGGGTTTGTCAAAAACAGATCATGCCAGACAAATCTTATCGCATTCTTTGACCAAGTGACAAAATTAGTGGATCAGAGGAATGCTGTGGATATAATTTACTTGGACTTCAGTAAGGCATTTGATAAAGTAGATCACAACCTACTACTTGATAAGATAGAAAAGTGCGGGTTAGACAGCATCACCACCAGATGGATCCGTAGCTGGCTGACTGGCCGTACTCAGTGTGTGGTCCTCAATGGAACCGCATCTACATGGAGGGAAGTATGTAGTGGGGTGCCCCAGGGCTCTGTTCTGGGCCCATTGCTCTTCAACATCTTCATCAATGATTTGGACGAGGGAATAGATGGGGAAATCATCAGATTTGCAGATGACACCAAGCTGGCAGGAATAGCCAACACTCCAGAAGTCAGGCTTAGGATACAGGAGGATCTGGACAGACTTGAACACTGGGTGCTATCTAACAAAATGAAATTCAGTGGTGAAAAAAGTAAGGTTCTACATTTAGGCAAGAAAAGCCAAATGCACAGGTATAGTATAGGTCAGTGATGGCGAACCTTTTAGAGACTGAGTGCCCAAACTGCAACCCAAAACTCACTTATGCATCGTCAAGTGCCGGGTGGGTGTGGCCCATTGGCTGGGTGTGACCCATTGGATGGGCATGGCTGCGGTGGTAAAGGCAGACTGGGTGGGACTAAAAAGTTCAATCAATCAATTCCAACTTTGCAAGATCTTTTTTTTCCCGCAAGAAGTTGAAATTGATTGTTTGAACCTTTTTTTTTTTTTTTTTTTTTGCACACAGCGACGGAGGCCTAAAGCGAAAAGGTTTTATAAAACCCAGCTGAAGGCCTAGGACTGGGGTGACGGCACGCATGCCCACAGAGAGGGCTCTGAGTGCCGCCTCTTGCACCTGTGCCATAGGTTCGCCACCACTGGTATAGGTGGTACCTTGTTCAATAATAGTAACTGTGAGAGGGATCTGTGGACAATCACTTAAATATGATCCAGCAGTGTGCTGCAGCTGCCAAAAAAACCAACACAGTGCTAGGCTGCATTAACAGAGAGATAGAATCAAGATCACATGAAGTGTTAATACCACTTTACAATGCCTTGGTAAGGCCACACTTGAAATACTGCATCCAGTTTTGGTCACCATAATGTAAAAAAGATGTTGAGACTCTAGAAAGAGTAGAGAAGAGCAACAAAGATGATTAGGGGACTGGAGGCTAAAGCATATGGAATTGGGTATGTCTAGTTTAATGAAGAGAAGGACGAGGGGTGACATAATAGCAATGTTCCAATATCTCAGGGGTTGCCAAAAGGAAGAGGGGGTCAAGCTATACTCCAAAGCAACTGAAGGCAAGACAAGAAGCAATGGATGGAAACTAACCAAAGAGAGAAGCAACCTAGAACTAAGGAGAAATTTCCTGACAGTTAGAACAGTTAACCAGTGGAACAACCCGCCTCCAGAAGCTGCAAATGCTCCAACACTGGAAGTTTTTAAGAAGAGACTGAACAGCCATTTGTCTGAAATGGTATAGGGCTTCCTGCCTGAGCAGGGAGTTGGACTAGATGGCCTCCAAGGTCCCTTCCAACTTTTATATTCTAACTTGAGAATAATGTCATGATAGAAATGAATTTCCCAGTTTCTTAAAATAACTCTTGCAGAAAGGGTGTAACGTGCAGTATCAAAACAAAGAATGAAGTGTGTGGGCTGTTGCATTTTGGAGCAACTGAAATTTCTGGATACTCTTCAAGTACAAGTTCATATAGAAAGAATTACAATAATCTAGGTGAGTGTTTGTTCTCAGGGCATCCTATTCCACGTAGGACCACAAATGATGCATCACCTGAAACTGGGCAAAGATCTCTTGGCAGGGATCTGTGCATCCAAGAGGAACCATTCCACCTCAGATTTTAAATATGAGAATTAAAGCTGGTACAGTCCTACAGTCCATTTGGTTCTGAATTGACAACTGCTCCATCTTTCTTGGATTGGGTTTGAAACTATTTTTATCTGTCTAGACCATGATAGCCCTCCAGCCACTAGGTTAAGACTATTGTGAAAATTATGTAGCTACTGTATGCAGTTCTGATCATAATCATTTCCTCTTGCCTTATTTGGTTGCATAAATATGCCTGAAGTCAATCAAAAATGTTATTTAACTTTTAATTGTACTGAATGGGGATATTTTCTTTCTAAAGAAATGTGGATATAATTCCTTTGATAATAGTCTCATCTTAAAATGACAAAACTGAAGACCTGGGGAAAAAAATCATTTTTTCTTTTTTTATTCATGTCACAGTGGTTGACAGCAAACCATGCAAAGATACCTTTAACCAAAAAGTTTCTACTTCTAACAAACTAAAACTGTCATTAATTTTTATTTGTTCAAAAAGTGCCAGCACATATAATGATTTCAGTCTCTGAAACTCTGCAAACACAGTATTTCCTTGACAACCTATTCATTATTGTCTCCCATGGTATTATCACTGTTTCAGAAGTCCCTTTGTGCAAAAAGCACAAGAATATACCAACATATACAGCTAGTGAATGTATTTCTTAGTTTGTAAGATCACTAATACCTTTTGTTGCTACAAACTTACCACTAATAGCATTGTCCTGTTTGACTTTATGACACCAACAATACCAAGAACAGATAGACAAAAGAAACAGAAACCAGTGAAAATCCCAATCCAGGCAGCACCATAGATATCATCATTGTCCGTAGCTTCCAGCAGTGGATATACAGAGTTTTGATCAGACACGAAGAATATACATTCAGCCATGAGTGCGAGGCCACAACACTGAAACCAGAGAGACACATGAGTTATTCCAGAACATTCTCAAAATTGTTGCATTCGTTTTTAAGACAAACATCTGAGCCAAACAGAATACTCTGTTTGAATCACATGCTTCCTTCTTTCATAAAAAGGATACTCCAGATCAAAAAATACTTATACAAATTTGTAACTGGAGCATTACAGATATCTTGCATAGCTTCCATTCTTCCAGCTTCCAAGTGTTTGCTTTAGTTCTGGACTCCTTTGAATGGAAAATGGTTTTTCCTCAAACTGGTGCCAATTTCTCTTTAACAGCCATTATGTTGGTCACATGATACTTATCCCAATTATATTGTCTTTACTTTATGTATTACTTTTTAGAAGAAATACTACTTTTGTATACTTTGATTCAACAAAGACATTTTCTTTTTGATTTTTTTATAAGAAAATGGAGAAGCTATTTTTCACTCACAATAGGCGGTTATTCTTGTCTCCTCAAATGAAAAGCACATTTGCATTTTTTACATTTCAAAGTAATGCTGAATTAGGAAATACATAGTATACATCCAGGCTTATACATACAGACAGACACACACACACTCCTAATCCTAACATGCAACTTAAACCATAGAAACACATTTATCAAAGTACAATAATATAAATAAACAAACAAATAAATAAATATGCTTTCTACATTCAACTGTTATGTGTAGTGTATGGATTTTATAGCCTAGCATGGCTGCTCTTCTTCTGGCATGGGCCAGATTAAGGAATGAGAAAAAAAGGGGAAGGGTGGGAGAGAAGCAGCTTCAGCCTTGAAGGGCAGCTGCTGTATTAGGAATGAACTGACCTGGCTGGTAGCCAGGGCTGGTCTGGGGAGATTTTCAGGGGCAATTTCATTGGGGCAGTGGGGTATATAGGTCTTGGGTACTAGAGCTCTGGGCAGACAGCCATCTCAGTTGCTGCAGGACATGCTGCCAATGTAACCCAGAATTGGAGAGACAGATGGGAGTGGAGAGGGGAGATAAGAGTAAAATTGGAGTGAACAGAGAAGGTGAAGGGAGAAAGGCTGGAGAGAAGTGAAGTGAAACTTCCAGACAAGTATTGGTTGTTGTTTGGGGAAAGGAAAGCGATGGTCCAAGGGTGGCTTCCCTGAAAATATGGAAGTGAAGACCCAGAGGAAAAAGCTCCATTGAGGACGCACGACTCAGGAGGGGAAGGAGGGATCTGGCTGGATGCAATTGGTGGCCTCACCCAAGACCCTGGAGGAAAGAAGGGGAATCAGCTGCCAGTAGAGAAGCCCTGGTTTGGAAAAAGTGGACAGAAGATCCTGAGAGAAGTTCTTCTGCCAACACAGGTGTTCAACTGAACTGGAAAAAAAGTCAGGCAACACTAAGTACGCTCCACTAATCCCATTCCAGTTCAGTTTAGTTATTTCTTTTTTCTCTCTTACCAAGCCCAGAAACAAGGGGTTGAGACAGAAAGGGAAGAGGAGGAAGGAGAAGAGATAGATGGGAAAAATCATCACAGGGAAACCTGGAAGTGAAAGCTGATACCAGGTGTTTTTATCCCTGTTGTAAATAACTGTATGTAGTAAAAAGCATAAAAAGTCTCCACTGTGTTTTGGTATCCATTACTACCTTTGTAAATCCTTCATACTGCAACAATCGGTTGTTAATTTGCAAGGGAATGACTGGATTCATGCATTCAACGAAACCAAAATAAAATTACCATAGCAAATTTCATTTCCAAATTTCAGCTAAACCCCCCCCCCAAAAAAAATTGTTGGGTTGGGTTTAGCTTGTTTATGTATAAAGAAGGGACTTTTTATCATTTATGGTGGACGTGTGATAAAGCAAAAAAAAATATTGGAGTAGGATTCATATGTTAATACAGAAAATTCTTAAAGTGAATATGGAAAGAAAACCTTTTCTCTTGAGGCTAATGGACAAAGACCTGGAAAAAAATGGAAACTTGATGTTATATATGTTGACAGCAGCAAGATTAGTTTACCTTCAGACATGGTAGACTACATTGATTCCCACAATGGAGGAATGGTTGCAAAAATTGATGGAGCTAGCAGAGATGGCTAAACTGACTGTTTTGATTAAAGAAAAAAAAAATAGAAATACTTTTACTGTTACAAGGAAACCGCTTCTGGACTTTGTGCTTGAGGTGGGAAAAAAATGAAATTTTGATTTTGGGCTTTACCGATTAGATAGATCTGTTGTTATTGAAATGGCTAGTTTATACTATTTTGTAAAAGTAAAAAGTTGAGGTTTGATATTGATATTCTATTTTACTGCACCAAAGGAAGTCAGAGGTCAATGACTTTTTTTCTTTTTTCCCTTCCCCCACATTTCTATTTCCTTTCCCCTTCCCTATCCTTCCCACTATTTGCTTTTATATTTTCTTTGTATCGTATACTATAGACTAAAAATTTTGGAATTCAGATTTAGCTTGTTCTATAAAATGCATCTCTGCAGTTTCTAAACCAGAATTTGGGGTTTAGTATGATATATCAATGTAATCAACTGTAGCTTACAAAGCTATTTTTTTCCAGAATCATGGTTTAATCATGTGTGAACCTAGACAGTGATATATTTTTGAAGAAGCCATTGTTAAGTTACTTACCCCTAGGACAACATTTCCCAGAATTAGTAAGCCCTGAAAGCATCGCACACCAGTATCTCCTTTTGCCATCTTCAGTTTGCAATCCAATCTAGAAAGGAATTATACATGGGTTAATACTGCAGGTTCTCTCAAAAACTCTGTCGTTTCCCCCTCTTTTGAACCCTGAAAGCCACACAATCTTTGGCCATTTCCAAGACTGTAATAAAAAGCCTCAAAGATTTAAAAAAATCACAACAAAACAATCCTACAGTTCTACAATAACTTTTAAAATTGTACAGGAAAGAACACCTGTTCTCACTTCATTAGCAAATAACATCTTAATCAATCAGAATAGAGCTGGAAGGGACCTTGGAGGTCTTCTAGTCCAACCCCCTGCTCAATCAGGAGATCCTATATACCATTTCAGACAGGTAGCTGTCAAGTCTTCTTAAAAAGGGACGAAGCACCTACAACTTCTGAAAGCAAGCTGTTCCACTGTTAGGAAGTTTCTCCTTAATTCCAGGTTGCTTCTCTCCTTGATTAGTTTCCATCCATTGTTTCTTGTCTTGCTTTCTGGTGCTTTGGGAAATAAGTTGACCCCCTCCCTTTTGTGACAGCCCCTCAAATACTGGAATATTGCTATCATGCCACCCCTAGTTCTTCTTTTCTCTAGACTAGCCATACCCAGTTCCTGAAACCACTCTTCATATGTTTTTGTCTCCAAGCTCTTAATAATCTTAGTTGCTCTTCTTTACACTTTTTCCAAAGTCTCAACATCTTTTTTGTAATGTGGTGACCAAAACTACATGCAATATTTTAGTTGTGGTCTTACCAAGGATTTATAAAGTGGTACTCTTAAAGAACAACATGTTTATAATCCTTTAGTTCTGAGGGATGGAATAGAATGGAATGGAATACTTTACTGAACAAGTATGATTAGGGACACAAGGAATTTGTCTCCAGTGCAAAAGTATTCAATGTACATTCAAAGCAACAGAGTAATAATAATCATAATGATAACAATAAGAGGGAGTAGTAGAGAAGATGAGAAAGATAATAATAGTACTTATAGCCATACAACATGGGTAAATAGACATAAGAGAATTAGGTGAGAATTAGGTGTTCAGCAGAGTAATGACACAAGGGAAAAAACTGTCCCTTGGTCTAGTTGTTTTGGCATGCAATGTCATATAGCAGCATCCCAAGAAAGGAGTTGAAATAGTTTATAACCAGGATGTGAGGGAATCTATAGATATTTTCTCAGCTCTCCTTCTGACCTGCACATTATACAGGATGAATATGTCAAATATTACCACCTGTATAAAGCATACAGTATTTAAAATGGCACCCATCAGCCAATCTCCATAGTAGCCAAGCTGAACAGATTCTGCTATTCAAAATTACATTTGGAGAATTGCATTTTAAGTGAAGCATTTCTCATGTTCATTCCTCACAGAAAACCATGAGTCATATAAAATGTTTATTAACTTTTAGGTGGGAATTATTACTTAGGAATTGATGAAGCTTTTGAACACATATATTGTAAGAAAATATTTGCATTTCTACCTCAGTTGAATTCTGATATTATTTTGGAATCCATTCTACATGCTTTTATTCATATAATTCATTTCTCCACTGATTATTTGTGCTAGAATTAAAAGTATCATGTTTCTTGCATGTTATACCATTCCTAGGAAGACAATGGTTGAAAATGTTATTTCATATTTTACAGCAGATAGCCTACAGCAAGCTTGATTCAACCTTTTTGGGTGAGAAAGCCACACCCATCAGAAATTCTGATGCAGCCACTGTTATGGAACTGGCTGAGAAAATAATTCAAAGAGCCAGTTGCAGCTAGAACAAGGGAGACCAGGAAAGTAACATTCCGGTTGAATGTTTTAAAATTCTGAAACTTTCTGCTCAACATTCCAGTCCTTAATATCTTCCATGGAATTTACACACCCTCTCTACCATTCTCTCTCATGTACTTGCAGGAGCAAGACTACTAGGCAGGTTTTTCTACTGCTATGCAGAACTACTTTTTTCCCTATTTTTTTCAATCATTTTTTATTTCTTTCAGAGGAGAAGAGAAGTTCAGTGATATTTGTATGGATGAAGTGTGGTGTTCTTGTTTATTTTTAGTTATGAAATGGGGAGGAAATTTGGATATCCTTTTAACATTATATAGTCCTTGGTTCCTTCTTATACTTTCAGTAAATCTATTGCTTACATATAATTTTAATAAGGATTTTTTACATAAATAAAATTAAACATAAGAACATATATAAAAGAGGACTAAGAAAAAGAAAAAAAGCAAAAAGTGTGAACAAAACAGTACAAATAAAAATGACAAGAAAAAGATGAAGAAAAGACTTCCAATGTTCTTTACAGCATTTGCAGAACAACATACTATCCCTCTCTCTGATTAAATTACACTGTTCCCCTCTATCTCATTTTCAATCTTTTAAATCAGGAAACTCAGAAATCACCATTTATTTTTTTTACATTTTCAGCAAAATGTCATAAGAGTACTTGCTTCATCCCTGATCAAATACTACAATTTTGCCATTTTTGAAGATTTATCTACATCTAGTGGGATTCTGCCCCATGTAACATAAATCCAGCAACTGTGTCTTATACTCTTTGATAAGAGAGAAAAACAACTTAACTCTCTTTAATGCGATATTCATTCAGATATTTGAAGAGTTCTATCATGTTTCTCCTGAGTTATCCTTTTTTCAAGATTAAATATGGTGTCCCAAACTGGGAAAAAACTCACTAGTCAAGATGAGTCTAACTAAAGCAGGACTGACTAGAATGATTACTTTCTGTAATTTGGAGACTATGATTCCCTTGATGCAAACTAAGTGTCTTCTTTCCAGTTATGTGACCCTGCTGGATCATATTTAATTGCAGACAAGTACGTTCACAATCTTTTTCACATGCGCACTTGGCATACCAGACGGCTGCCATCCTATACTTGTACATTTGATTCGTGGTTTTTTTCTGTGAACTTTGCACTTATATCTATTATATTTTCTTCTGTTATTTTTAAACTATGTCTGATTTTTATTTCTATATTCTATGTTAAATCTACCTTACCTGATTTTGTATCATCTGCAAATTTGATAAGCATTCTCTTCAGTCACATATAAGATAGATTGTTGTGGCATACCACCTAATACCATTCTCCAATTTTATGGATAACCATATGTTTTGTAAGCCAGCTATGTAATCAGTTTATTGCAATCTATAAATAATCAGCTTGCTAGTCAATTTTGTCTGATCTTTTGCTGCAGCCAAGATATAGATATAACATTCCACAATCTATTAAGGAAGTGATTTAAAAAATGAGATATTACTTTGTCAAGATATGTTCTTCACAATTTCTTGGTAGCTTCTAATAAGTATACTTTTGTTTTCAAAATGTTTACATATTAAATCCTTACAGATTGGCTTTAAAATATTTCAAATTGATACCTAACAATATTCTAAATTGAAGTTTTCTGAAATTTCCTTTGCCCCTTTGGGGAGAACTTTTACTGTCTTCCACTCCTTTGGCACTTTACTAATTCTCCAGTTTTTCTCAAAGATAGTACATAGTTCAGCTGGACAATTAGCAAATTCCTTTAACACTCTAGGAAGCAACTGACCTGATCTTCAAGTTTAAACTTTTTCAAAATGAATAGGTATTCTGTAAACATATTTGTATAATCTCAAATTTCAGTCCTGCTCCTTCATCCTACACTTCTCAATTTCCTGATAGAACATGTATATCTGCTAGAGAAAACTGAACCACATTGAGTAATTCTTCCTTCTCTGTGTTACCTATTAATGTTTTGCCTTCTTCACTGAGCAGCTGGTGTACTGATCTTTTCCCTTTATTTTTTTTAATTCTTAGTATCTCTTGCTTAGTAGTCTATTATCAGAGCTATTATTACTGCTTGCCAGCTGCTAACATGCTTTTTGAAAGGCTCTAAAAATCATACAGAGAATTTGTGTTCTGCTTTGTTTTTTTTGGATAAGTAAAATAAGAATAAAGTACTGAATCTCTTATGGCTTAAAGATTACTGAAATAACAATGTTAAAATTTGAGATGCCCAAGGGTTCTTTAGCACCTTTGATGCTAGTAATATTCATAATATAACACAAAGTAATACAAAGTTAAAAGAGGGTGAGAGATAAAAAGAAGCAGTATAATTAATTCTGTTCTGTCTTTATATAGAATGAAATGTCTGTGTGACCTCTAAGATGTCTAGTAAAGCTTCTAAATCAGCTTCCATAACTCAATGCTCTTCAGATATGTTGAATTACAGTTCCCAACATTCTACATCCACTATGGCCAACAAATAACTGGCTGAGAAATTATCATAGTTACAGCTCCAAACTCTTAGAGACTGCTAGACTGGAATATCCATAACTAGTTCAGCCTTCCCCAAAATGTTTACTGGCGCTGGTAAAGTTTTGCATTTTAGACTTGTTTATATCACCATGCTAGTACAATATCTCAGCTGTAACACATGGGTTTGGGGATCAAGACAAGGCAGCTACATGCCTGTAGAGGTATTTCTTTTCAAATCAGGAATGATCTGGATCTGGCTGTTTTGTTGTGTGTGAAACTTCCTAACTGAGCTTTGGTGCTTTTCACAATTGTAGAACCAAAGCTTAAAAACCAACAGATTCTTTTTGCAAGTAAACAAAGAGTGGGAAAACACCCTGACTCCACCAAAGCCTCAGAAGCCTTGTATAAAAGAGAAATATTTTTGAAAGGGTGTGGTTGAAAACAGAATCTTCTATGGGCATTGAACCTTATTTTACAATGTCCCAGCTTGCATACTCAGAAATTCCATTGGGTAATGGGAGCTGTTCTTTCTCTGTAAAATATTTCATTTCCTAATTTTTCCCTAAATAAATTATGTCTGAACACTTTGATGCTCTGAAGACTCTTAAGAGCTAGGAATGTTTGTTTTCAGCACTATATTTAAGATTGGCCTTAGCTATTAGTTTGTTTGCTTATTTACTTATTGCATGTATATTCTGCCTTTATTCTGCCTTTATTATTCAAGGTGGCGAACATATCCAACATACCTTCCTCCTCCTATTTTCCCC